CGATTATCTTTAGGTTTCCAACTCTGAAGAAGGCGATAACGCCGAAACGTAAGTTGATAAAAATTTATTCACCATCTTGGCAGCAGGTTTTATTAAAATCCTATAAAATTAATGCAAAGCTATGCCAAGATTTATCGAGAGTCGAACATGGATGCGATATCATGTCAAATTCCAGAAGGGAGTCTGAAGGAGCAGAAGCGATATATCCTCTTGCCTAAGGAGGCAGGTAGGCAGGTAGAAGTGGCTGTCGAAGAGATCTAAGTGAAAGTCGAAGATGATCTTCCCCGTTGCACTTCTAGATGCAGTAACCGTTCCGTCAGGACGACGAAGAGAAGTTATCGTGGCCTTGTAATTGGCGAAGATCCGTTGGCTTTGCCAATGTTCGTCCGAATCTCGGCGGCTTCGTCGATATCTACTGCTCTTCTCTCTTTCAGATCTTTATCGCTTCGCAAGTTCGGCGTTTGTTGACGATCAGATCAAGAGTCGTCAGTTCTTGGGAGAAAAATATAGGTTACTGATATTCTTTTATCTCACAGTGAAATTTTCTCAGACACGCATTAGTGAATAACAATAGGTTCCTTGACCATGTTTCGATCATACTTACGCGTAGCCTCTCTACACTTCTGAACGCTTATGCTTATGATGTACTGTCATAGCTAGAAACGTAGAAAAGTTTTCTAGGTTAGGCCAGGCCATCGCCGAAAGAAACGCTTCTGGAATTCTCCCTTCGCTTTGCGTCGAGAAACCACTAGCCTTGTGTTTTTCCAGGTCTGAATCCACAGTTTTCTTCGAGACGGATTCTTTTACTGGAGAAGGGAAAGAACACTCCATTACCGAAATCACCGCCAGAGCAGTACAGTAACCGCGTCTCTGCAGTCGGACCAGCAGCCGTACATTTATTCAAAAGTAAGAAGCGTTATCCGATAAATTTGGCTGAGCTTTTCACTAGTTTTCTCTTCTTGATGCTCCAGTTATTGACCGAATGTAATTCAATCTCAACTTTTCTACTCAGCTTGATACGTACCTTTTGATTTCTTCTAAGTCCTTATTTGCAGCTTTTAGACATTGGCTCCTTGTTAAAAAATAGAACAGATGAGCATGCTATCCTGTTGTCGAACTTTGCGAACGTGCTAGTGTGAAAGCAGTTAAAGAAACTACCAACCCTCGGCTATTTTTGACCAGCTCTACATCCGTTCACGAAAACTCCAAAAATGCAACCTGTTAGTTACGATAGTTTGCGTGTTGCGTTTCCAGAGCACCGCTATACATAAAATTCACCTTTTAAAACTGCTCTTGATTGACCGAAGTTATCCAATTGGTACAGCTGTGAATATTTAAGGCAGTAGAAGTTAAACATAGCGCACCTAGCTGGAATAGAAACATTTTGCCTTATGAGACTCTTCTTAAGGATATTTTGAATCTTTCATCGAGAAGTCTTTTCGGGTGCTGCTTGAATATTACATCGATCTAGATTGACACAGTTAAAAACAGGTGATGCTTTTCTTCTACACTGTTCTCCGTGGGAATGGTACAAAAGGTTCTTCCTGATGGGTTGTCTGTAATGATTGCTTTATACTTTTGCTTTTCATCTCTTCTTTCCGTGAAAATTTCCTCGTAGATCTCGGAGTTTGGGACCGTCTGCAAGCTCACAGAGTGAAGAGAGTGAATAAACTACGAGTGAGTAATGTTTTTAGTTCTTCCCGTACAATGACTTTCCTGGATAAGGTCTTTCATTCAGGTTCTTGATAACTGCTCTACAGCAGAACTAGAACTGGACCAACCTGTGAAGAAACAAGGTATCATATGCAAGTAATTGTGAAGTTAGTATGTAAAATAGATAGCTGTTTTAGAGGTTGCTTACATTATTGAAAATAATGCTATCGTTGGCGCATTGTACGATAAAATCAGGATTAGTTGTCCCACAGTCGAAATCAAATCGGAAGCTTCAGTCAAGAGTTGCAGGTGAAACGATCAATGATCTTATCCTTACCCAATAACAAATTTGACCGAAAAACAAACCAACTGATATAAATCTTTCTCGAAAGCTTTTGGTAGTGATTATTAAGGTAGTGATTGTTAAGAGTGTCACCATCATTGTTTGATGTTGCCCACATTGAACTGGAGAACGGTGAACAAATTGAGACATCACTTGTGGTGAGTAATATCCTATCAATGAAACAATTAATAATCTCTGTTACCTACAAGTCATAAGTGATTTTTAACTACCCGCCAGATTCGAGCACATGTGCTGATCATGGCCCAGAGTTCCAAGATGATTTTCTACATCTGGAAACGTGTAACGAAATATTTATGAACATTTGTTTACCATCCGCGTCATGATCCTTTTCTCAAGAAGTTTAGTTTTAACTCTTTATATGCTTTTCTGTCTCGTTGAAAAAGTGGTGACTTTAGCGTTGGCAGCAATTCACTAGGTAATTGTGAAGATGATCGAACTGTTTTTACTAATGAGATTCTTCTCTTTTTTTTTTGATCGAGTCTTCGTAAGGCAATTGACGGCCATTTGACCAGAGCGGTTAACTCCCCACTGGCTAGTGGTGACCCTGGTGGCCAGCATCGTGTCAAAGTCGGAATGCCAGATCATAGGTATTTTTTCATTCTTTTGCATTTGATCAGCTGATCTCACGTTTTCAGTTATCACTCATCACATCGATTCCTTTGTTATAAAGTGTCCTTCAATCATACAGGATGTACTAGTAACAGTTGGGCTCCGCACTTTAACGCGTGCGTGACAATAAAGAACGCTTCAAACAGAGACGAATATTTTGTTCTGAGCACCGCCTTTTGATAATCTGGTTATAGGCTGTGATGGGTCAAGAGCTTATGCAAAAGGTTCAGGGGCGCTCGGCTCACCGCGGATGAGTCTACTTCGTTTTGTTGGCCTGTTCCTAATTGACCTATTTCTTACGGTGTCTCGACTTTTTGGACAAGAATTATAACCCACTTCGAAGATTTGGCCACATTTCTTCTACTACCTCTAACCGCTTTTTCCCACGTACTAGAAAGTTTTGAACGGGGTTATGGACTTGATCTCAGCCTCACCCGCCTTACCTGAAACCCCATGGAATCCTGGCCCACTTTAGAGGTTTGGCCAGGTTTTTTTTTTTGCCTCTAACCACATTTTCCACATTTTGAACGCCTTGAGTTTTTCATCTGACTCTCGCCAACCTTAGTGTGAATCCTGTTCACTTCAGGGATTTGACCTTATTTATTCTGTTACCTCTAGGCAATTTTAATCTGCGTTCTGGAGCGTTTATGAACAGGATTATGAATTCTTGATCTAAGCCTCGCCCACTTACTCTAGTGCAACCTCCGCCCACTTTTATCCACATGTTCTAGAACGATTTTCAATCGAGTGCTGCATTTTTGATTTTAGCTTCGCCCGCCGCCGTGCAAGCTCCCACTCTAAGTCCTTTTATTTTCTCCCTGAACTCTTGAATCCCACGTCATCATTGAATCGAATAATGAACTTTTGCGGAAACTACCTGTCACTGCAAGAACGCCCCGCCCTCCTATGCTTCAGACTTGGTGACCCATTCGTCACTTTTCCTCGTTTTCTTCTGGCGGCCGTCTTTCCTCTTGTGAAACCAAAAAAAGCCGTTGGCTCCTAACGCTGTACATTCGGTCGCTTGTTAATTTACTGTGCCTTCGCATTTCAAAGATTGAATTCAGTCAAACTTCACAGTTCGATATGTTCGAGAATTTGATTTTCGGTAACTTCCAGGTAGGCGCTGATGGCTCTAATTCGAAAGTCCGGCAATCTATGGACGTAAACTACACCGCATTCGGTTACAATCAAAGTGGCGTTGTGGCTACTCTCGTCGTCGAGGTTAGTAATCTATTTGTATGTTGACCTGTGTTACGCTCTGAAAGGATAGCTCCAAAGTTTTGGTTGCATGTTGTCTTTTGCTCCCACTTATTGTTGAGCAATCTAACTTGCCCTGCACATTGTACCTGGACAACGTACGGAACCCAACTATGCGGAAAAAGACTAGAAAAAGATAAAGGGCTTACGTACAATTCGAAAATGTGTTCTACATTTTATGCCTTTTCCTCAAGACAATCGCTTACGGTCTTTATTTTACTAGGGCGCCGTCATGTGGAAATTTGTTCTTCCCTATAAGTCTTATGCGGTATATATCTATGCAAAATGAGAATTTAATTTCAAACCATGCCTACGTGGCGAATTGACAGCGGTAGCTTGACTGCGAAAGGGGAAGTTGATGTCGAACGCTGGATGTGTGTCAACGCTGTTTGGATGTACCCACTAAAAATGTCATCTTACGGCTTCTTTCCCTATTTCGAGACGAAATCTTAAACACCCGCTATGAGCTTCTTCCTTTCTTCTAACGATTCAAATTTTCCACAAAATTTACAACCCTATAGGGGTAATAGGATCACCGCTCGAAAGTGCTTTTGATTAGAGCAGTGAATGAGATATGAATTCATGTTTAGTAGTGTTTACTCTATTTCTTTAAAAAAAGTTATATTTGATTGGAGCTCCTACCACTCACTGCACGCTCCGCCCATTTATAGAACTTGAGCACATTTCTTTTCTTCTTCTTTCTCTAGAACGTGTTTGAATAAAGTGATGAATTTTTGAAATTTTTGTTTTGCCCACTCGGTGCAAGCCCTACTTACTTCAAGAATCTGACCACATCTCTTCTTAAACCTCTGACCACTTTTCCCGCGTTCTAAGATGGTTCTAAGCAGAGTTGCGAATTTTCAATCGCCGCCCGGGTTTTGCTAGGTTAATGCATGCCCAGCACTCATAAGGCCTTGCTCGCTCTTTTCTTTCTGCTATCCTCTACGCCTTCGTCGAATTGAGTTAGAGCTTATGTGGGCAGTACCACTTAAGGCAAGAATGCTCCCCTCCACCCCCACCCCGTCAGTGAGCTTCCTTCATTTAATTTGTTGACCCATTCCTTACCGCCAATTTTTTTCCCAGTGTCTGGACCGTTTTGAAACCAAATGACATTTCCAAGCTTGATCCGATCTCTCCAGGTATTTCTTCAGGTTATATCGAATTTCGTGACAAAGAGACAAACAGACGTATCCGTCTCGAAATTCATCCTTCTTATATAATCGGCTTGTGGTGTCTGTTGGTGTGTTTCTTTGACTTGTGTGTGTATGTGGGTGTCTGACCGGAAATTTTTAACTCCTGCCCTCTTGAACTGAAAGCATTTCAATTTGATAGGAGTACACGCGGCAGGATAGAAACACACTGACTTTCAGAGCCAAACTCCGCGCAGAAGCCGGGTTTTGAGTAAAAATTCATGACTACTGTTCCCGTGCACCTAGAGAGTTCAACTTTATTAGGGATACAGATTCCAGGATTGGCAGAATGGGAACACTGATGGTAGCTGGCATAACATGACTCCGTCAACAGGAGGCGGGACGTACGCGAAAACTGATAATTTTGACGTGGGGCATTCAAATTTGGTATGAGTGCAGGCGACAGGTATAATATTAAACAACGTGGTAGGTAGTAAGTGGTCAAAAGTTTGGAAACTTTTTAATTTCTCGAATAGCGCGGCCAGTTGAGATGTAATTATCCCAAAGTTACATATTAGATATAAAATCATGTGAGATATATGGCATGCAAAGTGGTTTTACGAAAATCGAAAGTCTNACTGATAATTTTGACGTCAAAACGTGGGGCATTCAAATTTGGTATGAGTGCAGGCGACAGGTATAATATTAAACAACGTGGTAGGTAGTAAGTGGTCAAAAGTTTGGAAACTTTTTAATTTCTCGAATAGCGCGGCCAGTTGAGATCGTAATTATCCCAAAGTTACATATTAGATATAAAATCATGTGAGATATATGGCATGCAAAGTGGTTTTACGAAAATCGAAAGTCTGATTCGTAAAAAAAGAAAAGTTCGAAGAACAGCGCGTCAAAAGTTTGGAAACTCGCTATCTGCCTTATCGTTTTGGCTTCTTCGTCCAGGTTGGTGGAGCACAATTTCTAAGGTTTTCAAGCGTTATCGAAGCTGAGGATTTGTGATGAGGAAGTCTCGCTCCGGAAGACCACGAAAGACAACACCAAGAGTCGACTCCCTAATTCTTTGGACTTCGATAGGCGATCCGCGCGCGACGGCTTCGGATATTCGTAAACAAGTAACATCTTTTTCTGGGATTTTTATCAGCCAAAGCACTGTCCAACGTTGTCCAAGACGTCCTAACAAGAAACCACCGGTCATCGCAAAGAACCGGAAGGCCCGACTTACTTTGCGCGCAAGCACTCCGCCTGGAATAGAGATGGTTGGAAAAAAGTTTTGTTCAGCGACGACGAAGTTTTGTGTTTTCGGGAGTGATGGCATAATGTATATAAGCCGACCCGTGAATGAGCGATGGGATCCGAAGTACGAAATCCAGACGGTCAAACAGGGAGGGTTATGCTATGGGGATGTTTCAGTCTATCCGGTGTTGGTGCACTCGTTCGTATCCAGGGTAATATGAACTTGGCTCAGTACAAGGACATCTTGGAGTATGTAATGCTCCGCCAACCAAAACCTGCCGACACGGTGGATTTTTTTAACACGATTATGTCCCGAAGCATACTTCCCGTCTCGTGGCCGACTTCCACCACTCAAAGGGAATCAACTTGATGGAGTGGCCGAGTCAGAGCCCAGACCTGAATCCTATAGAGCACCTTTAGGAAGAACTAGCACGTCGTACAAGCCAGTCTCCTGCTGGGAATACCGACGAAATATTCAATCTATTGTCTAGAGAGTGGACTCTGATATCACAGTCCAAAATTGAAGCCTTAATCGATGCCAAGAAGATGCAAAACAGTAGTCGATTCTCTTGGGTATCCAACGATGTATTGATATTATGTTTGCAAATTCATGTTACCATGATCAATTTTCCCTGTTATTGTGAAGTTTCCAAACTTTGACGCGCCCTTTTCACAATAAATCGTGTTTTTAACTCCAATCATCTCAAGAACACGTTGCCTATCGTGTACTTTATTTGCTTTTATACCTGCTATGCAAAATTTAGACAGTTACGTAATTCAAAGCCCACGCTATATCGGAAAAGAAGAAGTTTCCAAACTTTTGACCGCGACTGTAGGTGAACTGGATCGAGCTCGCAGGCGGGTGATGAATGGGACATGATGAAATGACCGTACTATGAATGAAAACACGTAGTCAAGTCGGAATATGAATGAATGAATCAATCGCACGAGGTGTGTCTTTGTGTATGAGTGTGTTTCGATGGGAATCAAGCTCCCGTTCCATAGTGCCAGAGGTTTTAAACTTGGGAGAGTGCAGGCGGCGGATCAATTTACCACAGGGAGGAGGAGAGCCCGACGATAGCCGAGCGATCCGATTGGTATTACCTGATGAAGCACCGGGGGAGGCCAAGTTTGTAATGGGTTAGGCTCAGGGCAATCAACAGAGCACATGTGAGCTCAACGGTACTCCTTCGATGGGGTCCGGGACATGTAGAGTCGGCAGTGCCATGGGTAAAAGTTCTTAGTTTTTTCATGTATCTCTTGCGCTGAGAAAAAAGAACAACTATGAGGAATGGGTCAACGGACGGAGTGGAGAAGACTCAAGGAGGGGCGGAGCTTCCTCTCAGTAGGCAGATTTTCTACACAAATTCATAGCTCGATTCGACAGAATCCACGAAGGGAGAAAACGATGAGCAAAAGCTAATCATCACTGAACGTAGCGAAGCTCTTATTCTTCTATTTTTTGCGCCTCTGTTCATAGTTCTCCTGATTCGTTCCCACCAAACACCAATTTTGTCAAATGTTTAATGTTTTGAAGTTTGAGATGTCTCTTAGGCGCTGTGTACAAGTGTAGAACGTAGTGAAACTACCCAAAATGTTTATGAACGTCTTTATCCGCGGTCTTCCGATACAAACGCCTAGATTATATCAGAATTAGTTCACTCTACTAATTGGTCAGTATAAAATATTCTTGCTTCAGTTTAGACACCAGGAAAAAATGATGTAGCCTGGCAGCGCTTTTCTCGGGCAGGACCAATCGCCTATCTTCCTTTAACTTCCAAGCTTTCTTCTCTTGTATGGACGACTTCCACAGATCATGCGAATGAACTTTTGTCCTTGAGCAAAGAGAAGTTTGTCGACGAGCTCAATAACTCTATGGTACGTTGCAGTAATTTTTTTCCCTTTTCATCCAATCATGTAATTGTTAGGAAGTCGTAGGCCACCGCTCAATCCATATTTGATTTAGCTATGACCTGGGCGCTGATCGTTGCTACTACATATTATAGGTATTCATTAAGGCATGGGGTGTCATTATCTTCCGGACAAGGCCCAGTGTTTTTACCTCAGAGCTCAAAACTTTTATGGGCTGAGTGCCCACTCATTGACCGGTTTCCGACTTTGAAATCAGTGCTATGTTTTTAATCTGATACCTTCGAATATATCTGGTCCAGTGAAATACCCATCTTGGGTTGGTGAAGCTTCTCCGAAATTTTCTTAAAGCAAGGCGTCCCTCAAAAAGCTGCAAAGAGACCAATCAAGTATCCGTGGATTGTATGATCTCCATCAAGTTTTTAGAAATTTGAATAATGGGCCGTGATGAATATTTTCAGGACGTTGTCCGTTGTCGCTTGCCTGAAACGTTGACTCATTTTATAAAATGCGTAGCCTGCAGTCAGGCCCACGGTCATCATTGGGATAAAGAGGCTGATGCTCCAGATATTTGAAATAGTACATGGTGTCCCGCGATTATAAGCGCCAAAATTGAGGAACTTCTTAGGTAGTGATAGTTCATTAATCTCACTTCATTCGCTATTAATTATTTGTACAAGTAGGTTTTCTTGAATTATGCATGATCACTTGAGTAAGCCCATCACTATCTTCGAGAAGGTGAAGGCTCATTCGAAGCCACTTGCAAGCATACGCATGAAAGAAGCGGAGGTGCACAGAAGGATTTTTCGTGATCTCAATATGCCATGACCATGCAGAAGGCTGTCTAGGACGCATAGATGCAGAACCAGTCAAAGGCAAACTTGAAACTGGGATGTCGCAGAAAGGCTAGGTTTTTCAATGAATGAACTATTCAAATAGCTCGTCTGCGGGTCGATCGTAATCCTGGGTGACCCATGAAGGAATACAACTGCGCACGAGTCAACAACGTTGTCGATGTGGCAGATTGTCAAGCGAAAGCCGTCCATTCATTGCCGTACCTATCGCGTGCTGAAATGCTGCTTCATTGCCGATCTCAAAGGCAGTGTAAGACTCAGGTGTGGGCTTCTGGTGTGTGTTTTTGTCGCGAAAATCTTCTTCTTCGAGGAACCTTCATCGCTTCTTGGGAGAAGAGATTTTCACGACGAAAACAATCCTCAACAAATAAAGCGTTGCGTTCAGGATAGAAATATCTTTGGTGCAATCTCTAACTTAAAAGTTGTTATTAGAACAGCAAAGTGATGTTCATTACGGGAGTTCTAGCCAACGGGAAGACGCCGTTAGTTTGGTCGGTACCGGCGCAGGCGTTAAAATAGGCAAAGACGTGTGCGTAGAGAGTATACTGATAAACGTACTGAGGCACTGATCCGACCCGCTTCCTTGAACAACCCGTGACCCTTTCCCAAGGTCGCACACAAGCTCAGTCAAAAGTGGTGCTGCCCGAATTCATTAGCATGGTGAGAGGGCCATTCTTCTTTTCGGACATCCTTCAGCCACTTGACTCCTCCGTATGATCTCTGGTCAGAAGAGGACCTAACAAGTTTGCTATCCCAGTTTGGAGCCTTTTATGCAAGCCGTAAGAGCGCCTGGCAAGAATTGGAGGGTGGGTACCTCCGTGCAACAGTTTGAAAATTGACTCTGAAGCTCTATGCCAGCTATTGAACGATATTTAGAAAGGTGATTGTAGCTTGTTGTTGCACATAATGTGCGCAAACGCAGATGCCAATTTATTCTCATCCTCAGAATCGAAACTTAAAATACACTGCAGACTAGGCGCCCACGATTTTGTGACACCCTGTACATGAGATGAAACACTTAATTCTCCGGTAGCAAGGTATTTTGATGCTCTTGAGCTAGCCAAAATTTGATAATATTAGTTTCATTAGAATCTCTCACTTCGACTCTCATTCCTCCTCGTACCTTATTCTATATTGCTGGGCCTCGTGGTACGTTTCAAAAACTACTCAATGCAAATATAACACTCTCGTTTTAGTTCACAGATGAGGATCAAAACGACTTCGTCAACAAATCCCTATTTCTCTTCTCGAAAATGCCATTTACTTCAAAGAGGATGGGTGCAACTGCTCTTCCTCCTCACGTCGTCGCCCTTCAAGGAGACACTCGTGCAGCTTTTCCTCTCGGCTTCGGACATTGTCATTCGTTAGTCTTGTTTTATTTTGAAAGTGCCGAAGTTGACGATACAAGTGAGAGGTAGTATTCTTTAGTTTGGAATGATAAAATCAAGCTAATAGTTGCGTTACATTCACTTACTTTGTTTTGTGATTCGCTCAGTACGTGAGTTCCGTCCCGCAACGTCATCCTTATTCAGTAGTCACGAATCTTAATCATTTCCTTAAAGCAAGTTTTTTTAACTGAGCCCGAAGTCTGAGCAATCACTGTCGGGCATACTCCTGTGATGCTTCATTTTTGATAGGTCTTTTATCCATCAATGAATTTTAAAACGGTTTCAAGTTTGGATTTCCAGGCACCCTTCTTTACACTGGTTGCGCTCATAAGGGCAAACACCTCTGAGAAAAACCATTTAGCTGTGCTTGAAAGAGTTGATATTGGCGTCATATTGAACCAACTAAAGTTTCTGTGGAAGCACGTGGCAGAAGCATAGCACGTGCGTGATCTATAGAGCTGATTTCTCTTTGGTTTTCTTAGTCTCCGTGAATGTTCCAGTCAGAAGAATACATTCATTGAATTTTGTTCGCATCCTTGATTGGAAATGGAGGAGCTTCGGTCAACGCTTGCGTAACTTCCTTTTGATATTCATATCTCAACAAAATAGCGGTTAGCGGAGTACCTCTGAACAATTTGACCTAATTTGCATCCTTTTCTTTGGGGGACAGGAATGAAATAGATTTGGTGTGGCAGAATTTAGATTCCGTGCTGATATCGTTTACCATCTTCATTCCATGTGATATGCGGGAGTGTTGTGATTTCTTCAGTGTGGTAGCAGGTAGCTGATGACCCAGGTAGTGTCAAAGTGAGAGCCACACACGCCCTCAATCCTTGAAGTCAAGGTTATCGGAAAATTCGACCGTCATCCTACCGTGGGGCGCCTAAATAGCAAATTATCGCAAGAAATCTGAACAAGTCGGTATTTTTTGATCACGTGTTTTCAGTAGCTCACCTGGTTGGTATGGTATTTTCGTGTGACACTGTGAAGCTTACGATTGATTTTTTCCAAGCCCCAAGTGTCACACAAAAACCAAATTGTCTAGTCTGTCTGAAGTAATTTATTCTTTCATATTCCTGGTTCGAGCCGAAGTTTGCTTTGGGAGTTTTTGCAGCGCAGACATTGGGGCGATAGCTTGCGTTATATAACACGCGGACAAGTTAGACGGATTGGTGGCTAGAAACCGACGAGAGAGTTGGTGGGCACTGGGAGGCGACGTCGGTCCATCTCTCAATGAATTATGCTGCATTTCACGAAAAAGAGCGAAGCAGAACGGGCATTTTGTCTCAAAAGACCGCAAGCCTATAATGAGTTGCATGTATCATAAATCATTGGCTAGGTAGATTTGATAGTATGGAAATTCAATTTACGTTCCTAGCTGTAAAAGCACGTTCAACATTGGTACTGGAAAGGAGGAAGGAATCATTCTGAGAAAAAGAGATCGTATCTACCGCAATCATCTGCGTTTGAGAATGTCTGTGAATCTTTTTAGGGAATAGCTTTTTAGAGTTACTAAATCTTTTTTTGGCCTTGAGGCTCTTACAAGGGAAGGATAATTGGTCGCAGTGGCCATTCAAGATGAGATGTATATCCCCCTAGGTGGTTTCGAACGCTGATCTCAAATCTGTGTTCCAAAT